TGACCATCTCGATGACGCCACACTTCCATACATGTTTGTTGCGACATCTGATCTAATGCAACTATTTCTATACGGCTGCAAATGTATATAATATATACTAATCAGTGTGAACTGCTTTGATACATATACATACATACATACATACATACATATATATATGTGTGTGTGTGTGTGTGTGTGTGTGTGTGTGTGTGTGTGTGTGTGGGTGGCAAGAAGTCTTAATAAAAAAATATTTACCAACTCATCATATCATATGACACTTTATCTTTCATGTACTTTTTATGGACATCATTCTGAAATCTTAGATCAATCTGTTCGTAATTTTTCTTGTTATGTGCAGGAAATATTTTCTGCTGCGACAGACACATCCTCGACGACCATAGACTGGGCATTCTCCGAGATGCTGCGAAACCCCAGAGTGATGGAGAAGGCGCAGGCCGAGGTCCGAGCCGTCCTCAAGGGCAAGACCCAGGTCCGCGAGCAGGACATCCAGGGCCTCGAGTACCTGAAGCTCGTAGTCAAGGAAACCCTGAGGATGCACTCGCCGGGCCCGCTCATGGCCAGAGAGTCGAGGGAGGCGTGCACGATCAACGGCTACGAGATCCCCAAGAAGACCAAGATTGTGATCAACACTTATGCAGTGGGGAGGGACCCCGGGTTCTGGTCAGACGCTGAGTCATTTGTGCCCGAGAGGTTCATGAACTCTTCAGTTGATTTCAGAGGATCGAGCTTCGAGTACATACCCTTTGGTGGTGGGAGGAGGATTTGTCCTGGGATCAATTTTGGGATTGCAAACATTGAGCTTCCCTTGGCTCAGCTCCTGTACCACTTCGACTGGTCTCTGGCTGATGGGCTTAAGGCAGGAGACCTGGACATGTCTGAGACTTTTGGGATCACTTCTAGCAGGAAGACTCCCTTGATCATGGTTGCTGAGCCCTGTGTCCCCTTCTCTTACGATGGAGATTATGATAAGTAGTTATTAAGATATGCAGCCATGCGTGTTAGATGAAGTCATTAGTCAAGTCTACCACATGTGTGGGGGAGTTCATGGTTGGAGAATTTAATTCTGTTTGTGTTTTTGCTTCTGTCACTTGTATGATATTGCAGTTCCTATTTTGGGACTTGCTGAATCCAATAAACGAGCTCATGTGATCAAAAGCGACCTTGCGAACTCCATATGCACTAAATTTTCTTGTTACTGCATATGATTGATTAGTTCTTTGATGATCAGACGTGTGGTACTAGCTTCATTCTATCAGGGATTCCATTTGTTTAACACAAAATCAATTCCGAGAAGACGTGGCTTTTAGCCTTTTCATTTTGTCGTTCTGATCGGAAAAACAAGTAACTATTACATGCGCAATCACGGTTCATGTATGCTCAATTCACATGAAACACCATATCGTGAGGGTGCCCACCTGATTTTGCAATTCACGGGAGTTCGGCTCACATAAATCGGGATCTTGTAAGAAATATCCATGACAAAAATGAGCAAGCCAAAGGAAATTTTAGTGAAAGAAAGCTCAACAATATGTTACTTACTTTACCAAAAAAAAAAAAACAATATGTCACTTCTTGAACAAGGGAGAACAAGGCAGCTTCCATAGGAGAAGAAGATAACCGCATTACTATTTGTACACTGGACAGCCACAATCCAACATAAACACAAGTAAACATTTCAAACCAGACTCTTCAACTTATTTCTCGACTTCCATAAGACCCAAAATGTGACATCATAAAGACGACACATTCTTTATTTTTTATGTCTGTTTTGTGGCTCTATAGTTGTAGTTTATGGACAACCATTAGGGGCAAAACCTAGTTGTCCTCCGGCAACATCATAGATCACCTCAAACGTCTTTTGCTACATGTTTCCGTAGATGACGAGGTCAGTGTTGTCGCTGTTTGCCGCGAACGCGAGGCAAACCTGCGAATCGCTCATGGTGTACAATATGCCGCTATGATCCAAGTCCATGAACGCGCCTCCCCTAAAGGTGAACCTTATCTTTGGGACGACGACCGACTTTGTGTTATGGAGATCATAGCAAGTGTCTAGGATTTCGAAGCTCTTTGCCCTCTTGTAGCTTGCCATCTCCTTCCAGAAAGCCGTCCTAATGGCATTGTATGCCGTCGGGGGCAATCGCGTGATGACAGTCCCGGAGTCAATGATAGCATCTGCCTTCGAGAAGACTGTCGACGGGATTTGCAATTTAGTCCCGGCTACTGTGATTTCCACTATGTTGATGCCATAGAATACTGAGCTTTCATGAATTGTTGCAATCGGTGTGAAGGTTAACGACTTAGGCGTTTCACTAGTCTTGCCAAATGTCAAGTACCCCGTTGAGCTGGATGATGAGGGCAAGCAATAGGAGAAATATTGGCCGTACTTGCTCGCAGTTTGTCCCACGATCGACAAGCCGTCCCGGGCTAGGCCAAGCAGGCCAGCCACCTTGCCAAAGAGGCCAAAATTGAATCCACCGCACCTGAATTGGAAGTTCCTTATAACATCCGTGGACGTCAACGTCAACGTGTCGGTCGCGAGGTTCCCAGATGAAACTGATAGGTCGCCGTAAATTATTTCGTAATCGCAAGTTGAGCCAGAGCAACTTGTTGAAATACCTGCTCTCATGAATAAAATCATTATCTTATCAGGCACAATCCTTATCCAGAACAAGGAGAGAACCGTGTGTTTTTTAAAGATATATACCTGATCCAGAACCACTGCACACCGGCAAGGTACAAGGTGCACTAGCATAGGATGAGGAGTGGGACGGGTCGAAGATCGGCTCAGATTGAGGGTAACAGAATGAGCATGGCTCGCACTGAGTCCAAGTGAGGTCGCTGCCGGTGTCGAAGATCGATCAGCGTGATCTTCGATGGCTTTGGTGAGCCAATGCCAACAGTCACAACGTACTCAACCGTGTCAAATGGGATGCCGAGCTTGGCTGGGACAGTGGCCTTTAAACCTCCTAAACTGCCTCCTTTGTTGGTGTTGTTGCTGCTGCTCGTTGAGATCTTAGATTGGATCGAATTGACCCTTGATTGGTCTCCAACCAGGATTTTCGTGTGGTTAAGTGTGTTTGGGTTGGCTCGAGTGTGCGGAGAGCATGGACCGTGCTTGTGCAGTACTTCTAGTGATGATTTGCGGATACCACCTCTAGTAGTGTGAATTTTCAGTAGGAACTTGATCATTCCAAAAACGTCCACCAGTTTAGCTTTTTTTCATTAATTTCCTCACACACGGTTGATGTTTTGAACATCATTAGTTCTAGCTAAGGTTAATAGATTCTGACATGGTTTGACAACACCCTATCTGAGGTGATGCGGTAATTAAGAGACTGACTCATCATTGAGACGGGACGGCATACATTATAATAGTGACGAGAGAGAGAGAGAGAGAGAGAGAGAGAGAGAGAGAGAGAGAGAGAGAGAGAGAGTTTTGTTAGTACTAGTAGATGAAGGTGTGCAAGAAGCAGAAGGCAATAGCGAGCTGACTTCGAAGATGTGGTGCCTCTCAGACTTGTATTCTTTGTGCGTAACCCTCATCCAAAGAGAACGCAAGACTGAGAAGAGAAACAGAGAGTAAAGTCCTCATGAAGTTGTGCAAAAACGAAGCAGCCATCTTCGACATGCATGTATTGCTATAGCGTTACTCTCTTAGGATCCATTGTTTCGCATAAACAGCTTATATATATATGCAATTGTCTCCGCTGCACAATGTGAACCACATTGCCAACTCTTACAATTCATGATCCTAATTCATAGTTTGACGGAGCAAAACAATGTTCTGTAGTCTCGCACTTCCTGCACGTGGGAAGAGGAGCGCACATATATTTGGCATTGTAATCGGCATTGGACTTATCTAAATTAAGCCATTTATGTAATTGGATATTTGTGATGGGGTTATACTTTGTTGACAAAGAAAGAATGAGATTGTTGCATTTGGCCTCTGTCATAAGCCATCGAAGAGATAAGTTGAACATGATGGCGAATACGAGGGTTTGAGCCTTGTATAGTTGCCAGTAATAAAAAAAAGAGAGGATCCAAAGATGAATGATTCCTCTAATATCGTTTCATTGGAAATGAGATCAGTATTATGATATGTAAAAGCTTTCGTGGTCATATGTAAGCTTCAAACTCTCGGCCAAATCACACCTCCATCCCCTTCAAGGGTATCTTCGAGAGATAGCTCTACAGTACATTGATCAAATTGTCACTGTGCTTCAGACATGGATTAAATCTCTCTTTCATTCCTTTCCCAACCCCTCTCTTGTTGCCACGCCGCGTGCGTTGGTGGTGCATTCATGAAACTAGTTAGTTATCGTCCACTGGTAAGCCCTAGAGCAATGGGCCGGTGGAGGATGCGCCTTGGTTCCTCAGTCAAGTAATTTTCCAAGAGATGACATCCTTATCAGCTGCAATCTTCAAGGTATGAATCATCATCAAACAATGAGTTGGGAAACAATACACACACACACGTTCATTACCGTATGCTGGTACGAACAAAAAGTACAAAGCCGACGGTATATCCGTATCCTTCCCTAAAATACTGACTATTGGTTAACAAAACGTACACATAGAATACATTCATTCCCAACTCTCTGAGACTCGAGGATTCTCTTGTTCTGTGCTGCCTATATTGGAGGATGAGCTTCATTGCATCTGGACCCTCCACCAACCTTCCTTCAATGCTCCATAGCTCTGCAGTAATCAACGGAAACCGCTCTGTATATTTTTGTTCTTTAATTTGTTTTGGACAACTTTGATAGTCTCAAAATCAGTGTGATGACACCTTGGACAACTAAATAAATCAAACTTGAAGAGTATAAGAACCCAGGAGCATCTATGCCATGCCGGTAGTTAAATTAGCAAGAGAAGATTAGGAAATCGATCATCTAGAAGAAGCTCTAACAGAGCACATAGAAAATGACCTAAAACATTGGAACTTAAATTTTCAGTCAGATGACGTTCTGGCAAAGGAAACTGTCACCCGACAGAATCTAAAGAAGAATAAGAGGAATAACATGCATTCTTTCTTTTACCAAATAAAAAACAGCCAATGGCAAATACAGCATCACAGTCCCATATAGCTGTTTGGAAACTTGCACTGGTGAGCAAGGAGACTGACACCCTTTTACAAAGTAAACAAACAGGTACGAATGATAATGCTGGCCATCAATCAGATAAAAACCCAATGACATTTTCTTGTATTGGTGTATGGCGGGAAAGTTGTAAGCTATCACATGCAAATAAACAGCTCGACTAGTTGGGATGCTAGAGGCATACTTGATAACCTCAAGAATAAGGGAAGAGGCTGAACATCAAAGAACAAGTTGGTTCCTTTAGTGCTCACAGAATAGGATAAAAAGCCACAGAGAAAGAGAACACGGACCCACGTATTCCAAGATTTCTGTAACTATCCATCAGTCCCAGCGTCAAATTGTAGACTAATGACCATTTTGATTCTGCGGAATCAGAGTTGAGCAGATCCATGATCTGCAAGCACAATTTTAATTGAAAGAATTTTCAAATTCAGAAACTCGTACTCTTATGGCATCAAAGCGTAAAGCTATATTAACACACCCCCCAGAATCTTCTTCAGTTTCATAACAGAGAATCCATTTCCGGCTCCAATAGTGCTTGAGGAAGAACGATATAGTAAGAAGCTTCAATAAAAGTGATCACCCAATGACAGTAGACGCTCACCTCACTTTCTTTTGCTAGAACAACCCTTGCCAATACGAATCCAATTAGCTCATCACATTTTCCGTCATCACGGATATGGTCACTGGCTGCCCAAGACACTATACCACGTCCGTGGACTACATATTGGAAGAACTCAGATTCATACCTGTAAATCCAACTGCTCATTCAAGAAAACCATCTAGTCGATCTACAAAACCACATCAACTGCGTATGATTGATTAGTTCTTTGATTATCAGATGTATGGTGTTAGCTTCATCCTATCACGGATTCCATTTGGTAGCTTTTTCTTTTGTTGTTCTGACCGTGAAAATGAGCAATTATTGCAAACACGGTCCGATTCATGTAAGCTAAACTCATATGAAACATCAAATCATGCGAGTCTCTACCTGATTTGATGATTCATGTGAGTTTGGCTCACATAAACCGGGATTTTGTAAGAAATTTCTATGAAAAATGAGCAAGCCAGAGAGAAGTTTAGGGATAGGAAGATCTACAATATGTCTCTTCTTGAACAAGGGAGAACAAGGAAGCTCCAATAGGAATAGAAGATAACCGCGTAAGTATATATATCCTGAACAGCCACCATCCAGCACATAATTAATTATATACTGGACAGCCACATTCCAACATAACCACAAGTAGACATCGCAAAACAGACTCTTACTTATTTCTTGGCTTCCATGAGACCCAAAATGTGACGTCATAAGGATGTCACATTCTTTATTTTGTATGTTTTATCTTTGTCGCTCTATACTTCAGTTTATGGACAACCATTAGGGGCAAAACCTAGTTGTCCTCCGGCAACATCATAGATCACCTCGAACGTCTTTTGCTGCACGTTTCCGTAAATGGCGATCTCGGTGTCATCACTGTTCGGCGCGAACGCAAGGCAAACCTGCGCATCGCTTATGGTGTACAATATGCCGCTACGGTCCAAGTCCACGAACACCCCTCCGCTGAAAGTGAACCCTATCTTTGGGACCACGACCGATTGTGTGTTGCGGAGATCATAGCACGTGTCTAAGATTCCGACACCCTGTGCCCTCTTGTAGCTCGCCATCTCTTTCTGGAAAGCCGTCCTCATGGCATTGTACGCCGTCAGGGGCAGTCGCGTGATCACGGTCCCAGAGTCGATGATCGCCCCTGCGTTTGTGAAGACTGTCGACGGGATTGGCAATGTAGTCCCTCCTACAGCAATTTCCATTATGTTGATGCCATAGAAAAATGGGCTTCCTGGAATTGTTGCCATCGTTGTGAAGGTTGATGACTTTGGCGATTCACTAGTGTTGCCAAATGTTAAGTACCCCGTTGAGCTGGACGATGAGGGCAAGCAATACGAGAAATATTGGCCATACTTGCTGGCGGTTTGTCCCACGATCGACAAGCCGTCCCGGGCAAGGCCAAGCAGGCCGGCCACTTCGCCAAAGAGGCCATAATTGATTTCACCGCACCCGAATTGGAAGTTGCTTATCACATCCATGGACGTCAACGTCAACGTATCTGTCGCAAGGTTCCCGGACGAAGACGAACTGTCGCCGTAACTTATTTGGTAATAACAAGTCGAGCCCAAGCAACTTGTTGAAATAGCTGCTCTCATTCAATAAAATCATAATCTTGTGAGGCACAGTCCTTGTTTAGAAAAAGAGAGAACTATGTGTACTTGAAAGACATGTACCTGATCCAGAAGCACTGCACACAGGTGAGGTACACGGCATATTAGCGTAGGACGAGGAGTGAGATGGGTCGAAGATCGGCTGGGATTGAGGGTAGCAGTATGAGCAAGGCTCGCACTGAGTCCAAGTGAGGTCGCTGCCTGTGTCAAAGATGAGCGTGAGGTTTGACTGTGTCGAGCCGATGCTAACGGTCACAACGTACTCGACCGTGTCGAATGGGATGCCGAGCATGGCCGGGAGAGTGACCTTTGAGCCTCCTAAGCTCGTCGAGATCTTTGATCGAATCGAATCAACCCTCAATTGGTCTCCAACCAGGATTTTCGTGTAGTTGAGCGCGTTAGGCTTGGCTTGAGCATTCGAAGAGCATGGACCGTGCTTGTGCACTACTTCTAGGGACGATTTCCGGATACCACCTGCATCATAATATACTATGATAGCTTGTAGGAGCTAATCTAATGCAGAATTAGATTAATGTGAATTTTCTCTAGGACTTGATCATTCCAAAAAATCTTCCTGTTTTTAGCTTCTTCTTCTTTTTCCATTAATTTCCTCACACAAGGTTGATGCTTTGAAATCGTTAATCTTAGCTAGGATCGATAGATTCCGACATGGATTGACGACACCCTATTTGAGGTGACACGGTAATTGAGAGACCGACTCATCACTGAGACAGGACAACATATATTATCACCAATCAATGAGATTCACCCACATTACATTTACATACATATATATATTATATAACTAGTCAATGCATAAGATTGGGAAATCACTTTAGCAATCACATATGAGAGTGAAAAATCAAAAGGGCAATCATGACACTAAAAAATCAAAAGAGTAATCACGACAGAGAAAAATCAAAAGGACAATCATCTCACACAATATAAATATACATACATATATATATTTTTTATGGGGGGGAAGGGTTTGTTAGTACCAATACCTGAAGATGTGCAAGAAGCAGAAGGTAATAGAGAGCTGAATTGGAAGATGTGGTGGCTCTCCGGCTTGTATTGCACTCTCTGTGCATAACCCTTATCCAAGGAGAACACGAGACTGAGAAGAGAAACAAAGAGTAAAGTCCTCATGCAGTTGCGCACATACAAAGCAGCCATCTTCGTCGTTCGCGTATTGCAATAGCACGATTCTCCTACGATCCACTCTTTCGCATATGCAGCTTATGTATACGTGATTGTTTCCGCTTCACAATGTGAACCACATTGCCAACTCTTACAATTTATAATCCTAATTAGTGATTGAACTGCTTACGTGTGCGTGCTTGATTCGTAGGTTGACCTGCAAAACAATGTTCATTAGTCTCGCACTTCTCCTATGTGGGAAGAGCAGAGCACTCGTACAGTTGGCATAGCCAACGGCATTGTAAATGATCCGAAAAGAAAGAGCAGTCTACGGCATTGGACTTATCTAAACCATGCATGTAATTGGATTCTTGTGATGGGGTTTTACTTTGTTGACAGAGAAAGAATGAGAGTGTTGCGTTTGGTCTCCGTTATAAGCTGCTGCAGAGGTAAGTTAAACACGTTACGGCCAATGCGACGCATCGAGCCTTGTAAACTTGCTAGGAATTAAAAAGAGAGGATTCCAAGGTTGGTGTTCGGACTGATTTTCCAAAGAAGAATAATTCGTCTGATATCCTTTCATTCGAAACAAGATCGGCTATAACGTATGAAAAAGCTCATGGTCATACCTGAGCTTGAAACTCTCACCCAAATCTCACCGCCATGCACACAGAAAATGTACCTATAGCCGCTTCAAGTGTATTTTAGAGAGATAGCCCTACTATACATTGATGAAATTGTCTCTCTGTTCTTTTACCCCTTGATATATCTTTGTCATCCCTTTCCCAACTGCTCTCTCGTCACCACGCTGGGTCCTTTGGTGGTCCATTCACGAAACCAGTTAGTTATCGTTCACCGGTAACCCCAGGAGCAACGGGCTGGTGGAGAACGCGCCTCGCTTCCTCAGTCAAGTCATTGTGCAAGAGATGACATTTATATCTGCTGCAATCATCAATGCGAATCGTCATCAGACAATGAGTTGGAAAAAAAATACTATTTACATTCATTACTGGTGTGCATACATCCTTTGCAAATAAATGTCATGAAATTCTAAAGAAATGCTGTGACAATGACATTATTTCAACACACCTAGACAAGATGTGTCACCATATACAGGTTGTTGAGAAAAACTCCTAATGATTTTGAAGTTGACAAAACTTTCCATGTTATTATAAATCTGATACTTATTCTGAAACATTTTATTCCAGGTATATATATTCTGGAAGCTCAGAAGGAAGTTTTTCAGACTTTACAAGCTGTCAAAATGAGAAGTTCAGACTTTAACATAAAAGTCACTCAGACTTTTATAAATTCATATCTTACTGAAGACCCACATAATCTTAGTTCTGAAAAGCAGACGCAGAAGTTATCTCGTACGCAAACGTAGATGCGCACGCAGCACGTTGCACGCGCACGCGCAGGTTACTCGGACGCAGACGTTGCATGCGTAACTCGTAACGAAAAATAACAGCTAGTGATCTGGCGTGGATTTCACAGAAGAAAAGTTTTGATTGACTCAATCTCAGTCTAATTGATTGACAATCAAACATTACGACAAGTATGCATTATAACGGATAAAGCTCTACTTATAGAAACCAAGATTCTGATTGGATGGGCGACCAGAATCAGTGGGATTCAGAATCTGTCATCCAACGGCTACTCAATCATTTTTATACAAATCTGTCCAAGGTGAAGATTGGAAGATGATCCTCTGAAAGCTGTCCAACGGCTAGTTTGGAAGTGGAGGAGTATTTAAGGAGATCAACGAGCAGCAGAAGGATGTACAGAATCAAGAATCAACAAATCCAAAGTCTGAGCATACTCCGATCCTTTCTCTTGTCTTTCTTGAGCCAAAACATTAAGATCTTGAGGGATACTTTGTAAAAGTGATTGTGTGAGATAGAGAGTCCTATCATACACAATAGTGCTGTCACTCAAAAGCTGTAATTCCTCTTGATTACATAGTGAAATTCAGCCGGTAGGCTGTCAGCGTGGGAGAGTGGATGTAGGCTTGCTATAAGCCGAACCACTATAAACTTGCGTGCAGTTTTTCTATCCCTTATCTCTTACTTTACATACTGCACATCAAGAGCACTGTCTATATAAACTGTTTTGAATCTGAATTTTATTCAGACTCAACTGTGTTCATTCATTTCCGCTTAAATTATTAAAAACTGTTTAAGATCACCTATTCACCCCCCTCTATGTGATCCTTGCTAGCTCTATCAATTGGTATCAGAGCAGGTTGCTCGTTTATTGAAGTGTTTTACTTCTGAGCTCACGATCTATATGGCTAGCTTGAGTGCTCCAGGTCTTATTGAAGGACAAAGCAACAACAGACCACCATATTTCGATGGCAAGGAATATAGTGTCTGGAAGAATAAGATGAAGGCATTCATAAAGTCAATTGATCACATGCAATGGGATGTCATCATCAGAGTAGTCAAACCAAAATCTTCTGATTCAAAAGAAAAGGCAGATGCAAGCATACCAGCAGATCCTCCATTATCTCAAACTGAGATATCAAAAAGAGAAGCCTTAGATTCCAAAGCAATTTATTCTTTCTATTGTGCCTTAGCACCTATTGAATATAAAAAAATTGCTTCTTGTGAATCAGTTAAGGATATCTGGGATACTCTCTATACTACTTATGAAGGAACAGATCGAGCCAAGGAAACTCAAATCAATCTATTGCTTGATCAATATGAAGCCTTCAAAATGAAGCCTGAAGAATCAATTGCTGATATGTATGACAGGTTTGCTGACATAGTAAACGGCCTTGCATACTAAGGACAACCAGTCTCAGATGCGATGAAAGTCAACAAACTACTGAGAGGACTGTCAAAACAGTGGGATAATATCAAAACATCTCTTCGAGAGACACAAAGGATCATGCCTCTATCAGTGAATGAGTTAATTGGAACTCTTCAATCATATGAGACCGAGCAACGGAATGAGGAGAATGAATCCAGAGGTAAAATGTCAATTGCATTAAAAATTAACATTGATTCTGATGCAGATTCTGAAGATGAAGATGTTGATGATGAAGAGCTGGCTCTCTTCATAAAGAAGTATAATAAAATGAAAATCAAAGGAAGAAACCTCAAAGGGAAGAAGCCTTTTGAGAAGAAGAAGGCTCTTGATGAGACAGAAAAATCAAAGGAAGTAATCTGCTTTCACTGTAGAAAACATGGACATATCAAGCCAAATTGTCCACTTCTGAAAAAGAAGACCAAATTTGAGAAAGCAAAGAAGGCTTTAAAGGCACAAACCTGAAGTGATATAGAGTGTGAAGACAGTGATGAAGATATCTCAAACTTCTGTCTGATGGCTAAGTCAGACTCAAACTCAGATTCTGATTCTGATGCTAAAGTTGAGATTGAGGTAAAGCATTCTGAAATGCCTATTGAAGTGTCAAATTACATTGATGAATTATGCTTTGAATTTAAGGCTGCTCTTAAAAGAATCTCTTCTTTGAAAAAGGAAAATTCATCACTGAGGCAACAAGATGTTTCACAAAAAAAAAATTGATTTCCTTCAAAAAGAATTTCATCAAGTCAAGGAAAGTCGAGATTTTCTTTCCAAAGAAAATGCTGTTTTGAAAAAGGAAGTTTCAGAAATTACTTCCAAGTTTTCAAAAGGTTCAGAAACCTTGAAGCATATCATTTCTATACAAATTCTTTACTACAACAAATCTGGTCTCGGATTTGTGAAGGAAAGTGATAGCTTAATTGATTTTCCAAAAGTCAAGGAGAGATTAAGACAAAAACCTCCTCGACAAGTTTATAAAAATCATTTCAAAAAGAATTTTGTCAAACCTGTTGGCCGAAGTGCACTCAAGTGCTCAAAATGTGGAGATCCACAACATTTTAAGAATGAATGTCCTAAGGTCTGGAGACCTATTCGAAGAGACTTTGTTAAGACTGCCTATACTAATTCTCAAGGACCCAAACAAATTTGGGTACCAAAGAAAACTTGAGATGTTGTGATTTTTGCAAGTTACCACAAAGAGAAAAAGAAAGTGATACCTAGACAGTGGATGTTCTAGACACATGACAGGAGATCCAAGCATATTCGTTGAACTACAAAGCCTGAATGGTGGAAAAGTTTTCTTTGGAGAAAATAACAAAGGAAAAATAGTTGGCAAAGGAACGGTTGAAATTGGAGGACTCACAATCAATGATGTGTCATTGGTAAAAGGACTCAACTACAACTTGATAAGCATAAGCCAACTATGTAATACAGGTTTCAGAATCAATTTTCAAGAAGATACATGCTCAGGAACAAGCAAAGATTCTTCTAAAAACATTCACAGGAAGAAGACATGGCAATATTTATCTTCTAGATGTCAATCCAAACTCCACTCATTGCTTGATCTCAATCAAAGAGGATGAAGATTTATGGCACAGAAGATTGGGGCATATCAGTATGAAACAAATCTCAAAAATCTCAAACAAGAAATTGGTTCGAGGTCTGCCAGATTTGGAATACAAGAAAACAGAGTTATGCAATGCCTGCACTCTAGGAAAACAAGTAAGAAGTTCTTTTAAGTCTATACATCATGTTTCCACTAATCGTGATTTGCAGCTTCTTCATATGGATCTATTTGGACCAACCAGAACACAAAGTATTGGTGGTAAGAAATATTATTTAGTTATTGTTGATGACTTCACAAGATTTACATGGGTGTTCTTCCTTGCTCATAAAAATGAAGCATTTTCATATTTTTCAAAATTTGCAAGAAGAGTTCAGAATGAAAAGGGCTATATCATTTCCTGCATTAAAACTGATCATGGGTGAGAATTTGAAAATAAAAAATTTTCAGATTTCTGTGAGGAAAATGGCTTTCAACACAATTTTTCTACTCCTTATACACCAGAACAAAATGGTATTGTGAAAAGAAAAAATCGTTCTTTGCAAGAAATGGCAAGAACTCTGTTGATTGAAAGCAAGATTCCTTTTCATTTTTGGGCAGATGCAGTTTTTATAGCATGTTATATTATTAACAGAGTTTTTCTCAGACCCATTCTTGAGAA